GGCCCTATCTGGTTCTACCGGGTCCTATCTGGTTCCTCCCACCCTCTGGTTGGGGATGGGGGGGTCAGGAGGAGGTGGCGGTACCTGCGGGGGCCTGCTCCTCCTCCTGGCGGGGCCCCGGGCCTTCATCCTCTGGGAAAGCTCCAGGAGCTTGTTGTGCCTCTTCCTCTTCTTCTCCTTCTCCTCCTCCTCCTTCTTCTTCTCCTCTGTCTGCTCGGAGTCGGACTCCTCCTGCCGCTGCAGCCTGCTCCTCTTCCTCGGAGGGGCCTTCGTCTTCGGCTGGCTCCTTCCCTCCTGCTCCTCCTTCTTCTCCTCCTCGGGGCTGGAGGAAGAGGAGCTGTCGCCTCCTCCCAGGAAGGAGCGCTTCCTGCGGCTCACCGAGCGGCTGTCGTCGCTGGAGCTCCCCCCCCCGGACTGGCTCCAGTCCCGGTCCTCCTCCGCGGAGCTCCGGAAGTCCGACTGGGAGCCGGAGGAGGAGGAGGAGGAGGAGAAGGAGCCTTCATCGCTGTCGTCCAGGATGGAGGCGGGGAGGCCGATCTGCCGCTTCTTGGAGGCGGCCGCCTTGGTTCTCCTCATGGAGGCGAACATTTTGCGCTTATAGAGGCTCTCCATGTCTGCAGGAGGAGAAACCAGAAGGAGAAACAAGAAGGAGAACAAGACAGCAGCTGGAGGAGGAGGAGGAGGAGGGGGGGCTACAGGCTGCGAATCAAAACAAACAACATGGCGGCCAGATTATCCCCCAGGAGCAAAGATTCCCTCCTTTGTTTCTCCGCTTCTCCTTCTGTCGGAGCTTCAGATGCTTCTTCTTCTCTCATCGGATTAACGCTCCGCAGCAGCAGCAGCAGCGCCCCCTCAGGACAAACCGGAGAACTACCAGAACCAGTCTGGAATCAGGGGACGTTTCCATGGTTACAACCTTCTTCTTCTTCTTTACAAACGCTCTTTTTAAAGGAGGAGTTTCCCAAAACAGGAGAAATAAACTAAAATCCCGATTTTTAATCAGTGAATCAAAGATGGCCGTTTATCAGAGTCCGAGCTCAGCTTGATGCGGTGGATCTGTTAAAACCAGAATTAGTCTGAAGTTTAACTTCCACAGAGACACAACATGGAGGATTTTATTCAGCTGTGGGGTTTTACCAACATTTTAGGTTAAAGAACTAGCTCCTAATTTAATGATTTTAATTGACAATTGTTTATATGTTTGAATTGTGTAAATAAAGTGTTAAAAGTCAAAAGTCTTCTTGTGTTTTAATTAAATGCATTATTGCCACCAACAAGGAAACAAGACTCACCACCAGGAAAATAAAAAAAGTAAATAATCATTTAGCTAACAGTTTAATTTAACCCAACATAAGAAATAACAAATATGTGATCAAACCCAAACCTTCATAATTTCTAATTTATCTTTTTTCATCACTCTGCCTGTTTCAACCCAAAATAATGCAGATTTGCATCATTTACATTCATGCTCTGAACTTCTAGATTATGCGTCTTTTTTGCATCATGTTTTTTTCTCCCACATTGTTTACGTTTGAAGATTTGATCATTGCTGAACTTTATCAAATGGAAACGTTCATTTACTGAAAGCTGCACTAAACCAAATTTCCTTCCTAACTTCTGTTTTATCTTCATTCAGAAGCAGAAAGTTAAGAGTCATCCAGGTTTTTATGTCTTCAGACATGCCTGTAATCTATGTAATGGATTAGCTTCATCTGGGTTTTGCTGTCATGGTTGCTAGGCGACAGATCAGCTCATGAATCAGTTGGAGCCCAGTCAGTTTTTTTCACACATTTAACCGAAAACCTTGTTCTTCTCTTCCTGAACTTTAACAAGGAGGTCAAGGACGCCGCATCGTTGGTGTTTAGTGAGTTAATTATCATTTCTTTGTAGAAAAGCAAATCCTGATTAAGAAGATGGAAAATAGCGTTTTTGTTCTTGCTGCATTTCTGCAGCTGGAACCGTGTTCAGATCCGTGTCTCTGACCCTTGGTTTGATGACAGCGAGTCCCAGAAAAGAGAGGAAGGTCCAGACTGGGACCCAGTTCCACATCAAATCCTTTCCATTTAATCCCACTGCAGCCTCCGTGTTTCCCTGATGTTATCAGTGCTGCCAGTAGGTCCCAGTAAAGTCAGGGAAGTGGAGAACAGTTTCTGGGATGAAGCAATAAAAGGATGAATAGCAGCCAGTTTATAGCAAACTGGGATTAAATTTACCACTCTGGTTACTGACTGGGTGACCTTGCAGCAGAAACTCCACCTTGTTGTTTCCCTATAAACCTGCACTGACCTCATTTCTACTTCC